ATGACAGTGGATTGGAGGGTGAGAGTGCCACCTCTCCCATGCCACTGGACAAAGCAATAGCTCAACAAATTTCTCTTCCTTCATAAAAGAATGCAAAACAATAAGTTGTTTATAGAAAGTGTGTGAGAAAGTTTGCTACAAGAATGCAAACATCAGAAGGCTGAGAAAATCTTAAGAAATCAGGGTGACAGCAGATAAATTCCTCTTGGACATTTAGGTTTGTCCAAGCCAAGAATCTGCAAGAAGCAGGTGAAAACTGTGAGAAATGGCAGTCACAGTGTCCATAGGAGTCTCTTGTATTGCCCATGGAGATGAGAGAACCTGTGTGAAGTGCAATAGAATTGGAGTTAAACTTGTGAACCCCATATGAAATATATGTTTTCATAAAGATATCCCCCAGGTGAGTAATACTTTTTGTAATAATGTCATTTGTCTAAGCAATGGCAAATAAATACTCATCAATGGCTGTAAGCCAGAATCCTCTAAACACTGTTGCATTAGCTTGGAGCAGGACTAAATTTGACCCAGCATATCTAACAGGGTGTTTGATAATTGGGATTAGGCTGCTTTGAGGGATCTGGAATGATTGCTTCTGCTCTTGACCTTGCGTTTCTTCGGCAGATGATGGGGACAATTCTCCAAAGTTTTCACAGACATTACTGGAAATTCTGGAGAAGATAGGATTTAGACTTATGACATACATAGAAGTATTTGGCATCCTCATAAAGTGTTGCGAGGTAGAAACTCATTTTCTCCTTGAAACTGAGCAAAATTCAACCCCAGGGTGCAGGGACATTACATTTTGCACAGAAAGGGAGACCTGCAAAAAAATCAGGAATGAGAAATTTTGAAATCAGTGTGCTAACCAAAAGAACTGTTCTGCTGATTTGCATTTTCTGTCCTGCAAAATGTGATTTGGGAAGAAACCCCCCCCCTCCCTCCCCCCAGTCCTTTATTTCTTATCTTATTTCTTATTTTTTTTAATAAAAGGCAGGCAATGTTCCTGTCATACCTCTGTTCATTAGGAAACCATCTGGAATCACTCCTGCTGCTCCTAAACATCCCCATCTTTAGGAAGCAGGGAGCAGTGCCCGTGGAGAGTGCCCATTGCAGAGTGCCCTGGGAGCCTCTGGCTCTCTGTGAGGCAGAGAGGGAGAGGAGCAGCCTGGGAGCTGCTGAGAGCCTGGGGCTCCACCGTGGTCAGTGTTTCAGGGGCAGAGGAGAGGGTGGAGGAGGGATGTTTGTTCTCCATCGAATGTGCAGCTTGGCAAACATCTCAGATTTAAGAGAATTCAGCCTTTTCCTTGACTGTTGCAAGCACAGACACATGCAGGCATCTGACTAAAAACTTCCATGTTTTCAGTGTTTACAGCAGAGCATCTCCACTGCTGCTGATGAGAAAGGGAGGGCAGTATTATTTTTCCTGTATGTGCAGCTAACAATTCCTGGAACCTCAGCTCTCCTCCCACTTCCCTTTACCCTTTCCTGGCTCCTTTCCTCTGGGATTTGACAACACTAACCTGAGGCTCTGTGTTACCCCTAACAATGCTTCTCCCCTGTTCCTTTTGAACTGTGCAAAAGACTTAAAAAGTGAGATTTGTGGGTTGCTTTTGCATACAAAAGTCACAGGGAAAACAGAGATAGCACAGATCTCCTGGGGTTTCAGCTTTGGGTGGGTATGTGGTGCTCAGAGCAGTGGTGTGCAGCACTCCTGCAGAGCCCAGCTATCCCAGGACACCCCCTGTGCTGCTGGCTACCACCTCCTTCCTGGATTCCTGCCACTTTCCTTAGGGCCTGGACTCAGAACTCAAATCTTGAGCTAATTGTGACCCGAGTTTAATCCTTGCAGCAGTCACCCTGCTGGCACAGCCTTGTGCCTGTGGCAAAAGTAGGGAAGAGCCTGATCCCACAGGAGACCCAGGAGATACCTGAGGGGATGCATCTGTACTTAAGAGGCTCATTACTTAACTCCTCTTCCAGGCATTAAAGTCTCAGCGTGTGCTGAACGGCTTCAAGAAAGATAAATACAAAATCTGGATGCAGCACTAGAAATGGAAATGATGGGTAAGGGATACAGTGAGAAAGACACAAGCTTTCTTGCTGTCTCTGTGTGTGCAGCTGGGTTGAAGGGTGGTTGTAGTCTGGTGGGGTCCGTCTCTTTCTCCAGGCTGCACTGACAGGACCAGAGGACACAGTCTCAAGCTGCACCAAGGGAAATATAGGTTGGATATTAGGAAAAAGTTTTTCGTGGAAAGAGTGATAAAATACTGGAATGGCTGCCAGGGGTGGAGGTGGAGTCACCATCCCTGGATGTGTTTAAATAAAGATTAGATGTGGCACCCAGTGCCATGGTTCAGTTGAGGTGTTTGGGCTGGGTTTGGCTCAGTGATCTTGAAGGTTTCTTCCAATCTAGTAATCCTGTGAATTCAGTGTGATTTTGTGAATGCTGGACCTGCTCTCCATCCCTTCTGCAGGGCAGAAAGAGGCAGCACAGGAGTAAGAATGGCAGGATGCAGCTTTGCTTGGTAATTCCTACAGCCAGGGAATGGCTTTGCTTGGGTGCTTCCCACAGCCCTGGTCTGTGTTAGGGGGAGGTTTCTCTTCTCCCTTACCATGAAGCAGGGAGATGTCTGTTTTTCCCTGTCACACAGGGAGTTTACTCTCATCTTTAGGCTGATCCCTAAAGGCAACCAATTCACCTGATTTTTTGTCTCATGCACCTACCCTAGGATTATTCTTCCTGAACATTTTCTGCATGCAAGGAGGGCTGGAAACATAGGCCAGTTTGAGACCATAACAATGTAGACCAAAGCCTTTTTATCACTGCTCACCATGGCAGATAGACCATGGGATGTGGGCCACTGCCTTGTGCTGGGGCAGACCTGTTGTGTAGCTAGAGAGAAGCCAAATCCCTGCACTAGGGATGTCACTGGGCCACCACCAGGGTTTCTTTGGGTAGCTGTCCTGATGAAGTGTGCAGCCTGGCTGGAGATTGTGTCCCCTGGCTACCAATGACCTGCAAGTCAAGCTGTCATGGCCAACAGCAGACCACTAGACACTGAGCAGGGCATCTCCTTGGGAAGTGATTCACTCCTAGATTCCTGTGTGATTTGCCACTGTGGATGGTCATGGTGTGATATTACTTAAAACAAGGACTTGAGAAAATGTTTTAAGGTTCTGTTTGAAACATTTCATTGTGTTCAAGTAGTGGTGTGTTGTCTTTGTTTCTCTGACCAAGCTCAGAAGCTAGAAAAGCCTGTTTTCAGTGCTTAAATGTGATGCTGCCTCTTTAATACCATAGTAGTGTTGGCTGGAAAGCCCTGCAATGGCAAAAGACTTTTCACCATAGCTACAAGGAAAGTTCTGGTTGAGGAAAGCAGCAGTAAAAGCGGTGCAGCCATAAAAACTCTATTTCATATGCATGCACACAGTTCAGTGCCCAATTGCCCTACGTCAGGAGTCTGTGTTAAGTATTTTCATTTTATAAAGTTCTGTCCACTACAATGAGGGCTTTGGTCACAATGAAATATAGGCAGCTGTGCCCACAGTGACTCTTAGATGATTCCGCTGATCCTCCTTGCCCCTACATCAGCAATAGCCTTTTTTCCCCCTACAATCCCCACCCACAGAAGCAGTGGCAGCAGCCAGTGCAGTGTTGTGGTCCCAGGGAAATTGCACTGAGGTCCCACCACTCAGGATACAGGTACAGCCTTTAGGACCTTGCACTGAAAAAATGGGCCAAAGAAGGCTGAACAGCAGAATTTTCCCAGCTGTCTTTGGCTTGGTTGCATTTGTCTCAGGTAATTTTCCCTCTCTGGCTCAGAGGATTGTTACCCACCCTGCTAGGCAGGGTATTTCAGGTCTGTAGGGTTCAGCTTTGGTGTACAGTGATGGCAGCTATTTGCTCAATTTCCCTTTGCTCAGGGCCAGTATGGGGTAAAGCAGCATTTCTCCCTCCCACTGATCCCTGCTGGAACCACACCAGCCCTACCTGCATCAGCTTCACTTTCCTTTTTATTTAAAGTACAAATTAGCAGCCAGGAAAACACCGGAGTGTCAACCCCTGGCAGTCCTCAATTTCCCAGCGAGGGGCAGTGGAAAACTGAGAAATGGAAAGAAGAGCTGGAAAAACAAACCAAACAATAACAAAAAATACAAGAGTGTCCTAACTCCCTTAAATTGTAAGATTACTTAGGTCCCTATAGCTTCATAGTCCTATGGTTGTGACAAGATATATATATATATATATATATATATATATATATATACACACATAAAAATAGATATACATATATACATAAAAATGGATATAGAGATAGATAGATAGATAGATAGATAGATAGATAGATAGATAGATGGCAGATTTCAGGGCACAGAGCAGCTCAGGTAGACAGTACAACCATAAAGATATTTTTAGGTGTCACGGGGCATATTCACTGAATGTGGAATAGGAGCCATGTGGTATTCTGGAGTACAAGTATTTACAGAAAGATTCAGCATTATGGAAATTTCTGCAAGAAGGTTTTGTTGGGGCAAATTTAATCCCCATCTCCCACATGCCTCCCCAGTGCTTAAACTGCAAGAATATACTTGTTCCCTAATTACAAAAGAGCACCAAGGATCTGTTAGTATTTCTGCCAGTGGGATTGATGAGTGTTGGCATAATCAGAGAAACTCTTGACTGCAGGCTTTCAAGTGTCCAGATCAACTCTGGAGTTTGGAGGGCAAAAAAATGAGGACAAAAAAGACTGGTGAAAAAACAAAGTGGTAGGTCACAGTATTTGTTGAGAAGATAAGTGGCATTTTTTTAATTCTCTATCCAAATCAAATAATCCAGGAAAGGTAGTCCAGATTAAATTTATGACATTCTGAATGCCTTGCACCTGTTTTTAACAGGGTAAAATTTCCATTGCCCTCTAGACAGGCCCTAGTGAAGGTCTCAGTAACACCTTGGAACATTCCCTGGCTGGGTTGTGCAACCTCTGCTCTCACTGTGCCCTCACTTCAGGAGCCTTTTTGCAAGAGCCAGTCCTTGTACTCCCTGAACCACTTTTGTGTATGCTCGCACTTTGATGTAGAGGTCCCCTTTGTGGAACCTCCCAGCCAGGGATCTCCAAGACCCATATAAGTATTAGTTTTGAAATTCTAATGTAAGACCAGCCCGTGAAGTGGTTCATGACTTCTTTTTGTTCTACAAGAAGAAGAGTAAACAGAGGTGCCAAGCTGGTAAGTGCTTTGCCCAGGGTTAGAAATGTAGGTGGAGCACAACTGGAACCAAGGGTGTCGGTGGGAATGTAGGCTCCTGTGCTCAAATCCTTGCTGTTTACTGACAGAGCTGTACTTTTGAGACTGCACTGAGAGTTCATTTGGCCTTGCCCAAACCTCAGGATTCCCTGCCCTTTCACTTATTTGCCTTCGAATATGTTGATTAAAGGAAACAGGAGTTTGTTTCCAGGCTGGCTGTGCCCTGTCGGCAGTGGGAGAGGGTTTACCAGGCTCTGGGCAGCGCAGGGGGAAGGGGATGCTCCAGCACTGCCCGGTGCGTGTGAGGCTGGGTGGCTGTGTAACCTCAGCTATCCACAGGCACTTCACCTCTTACCCCTCACTGCCACCTTGATGGCCGGGTTCCGGTGCTTTTGTGTGCAAAACAAGGGTGGAGGTGCCCCCCAGCAGGCAGCTCCCGCAGCTATCGATGATCCCCCCGCAGAGCATCCCCACCTCCGTGCAGCTTCACCCGTTGTGTGCGCGGCTCCCGCTGATAGCATCGCCACCGTGACCTTGAAATCCTTCTCACAAGTGCCACCCTGTCTCTTAGCAGTGGGAAATCAGATTTCCCTTCCCTCGGCACGACTCCCTGCATTTTCATTTCTGAAGAAAGAGCCGGGGAGGGGATGGAGCCTTTCCCTGCGCAGCAGTGACTCTGTTTTCAGCTGTAGCCCAACAGATTGCTTCGCTCCTCTGCCTTATCATCCAATACCACCTTAATGCATGCAGCTACGCAAGGTTACTATTAGTGACTGATAGCACTGCTGCTGCGGACTGGAGGTTTTAACCCCAGATGCACCAAAATCTCTATACCACATCCTTGGCTCTCCCTGGATTTTCAGATATCAGTTATTACTATTATTGAGCTTTTTTTTTTTTTTAACCAAAAAATACAGTAAGTTTGTTATTATCAAAGGACGACAAAGAGAAAAGTCAGCCAATCTCGAGGACCAAATCAATCAGTGGTTTACCTTGCATGGAGTGACTGACAGCTCTGGCCCTCTGGCATTGTAATTTATTTTCCAGGCTCAATCCTTTGCAAGTATCACATGGCATGCTTTTAAAAATGTATATATAGAACCAGCTAGAGAGTTATATTTAGTGCAGCTGTAGGTACGGAGGCATTTCTGTTTTTAACTTCTGTTGGTGCAAATATAGAATCAAACAACCTCTCTTCACCTCTCTCCTGTGAAAGCATCCCTTCCATCTGGCTACGTGCCCAGAGGAGTCTGCAAAACTGCTCTTGGGGAAGGGCTGTGGAAAGAACTGGTCGAGGAATGGTAAGTTTACAAGACATCCCCAATTTTCAGCAAAAGGTGCAAAAAAATCTCATTCCGTCGCGGAATAAAAATGTGGTGCAGAATAGAAATAACAATTTCTCCCCCGAGCTCTGGAAGGTCAAAACAATTTATTTTGACCTTTTAAAACCTACCCTGAGGCTATGCAGGCCGCAGGAGGTGCACCAGTTGGTAAGTGGGAAACCCCAAAGAGCAGAACACCCCTTAGTTAAGGACCTGATGCAAGATGAGCATCCTGACTTGTACCAGCAATAGTGTGGCCAGCAGGAGTAGGGAATGGATTGTCCCCTGTACTTGGCCACACCTCAAATCCTGTGTCCAGCTCTGGGCCCCTCAGTTCAGGAAGGACATTGAGGTGCTAGGGCAGGTCCAGAGAAGGGCAACAGGGCTGGGGAAGGGTCTGGAGCACAAGTCCTACAAGGATTGGCTGAGGGAGCTGAGGTTGTTTAACCTGGAGAAAAGGAGACTTGGGGAAACCTAATTGCTCTCTACAAGTTCCTGACAGTCAGGGTGTAGCCAGGTGTGCATCTGTCTTTTCTCCCAAGCAACAAATGAGAGGATGAGAGGAAATGACCTCAGACTGCTCCAGGGAAAGTTTACACTGGATAGTAGGAAAAATTCTGCATGGAAAGGGTTTTCAAGCATTGGAACAGTCTGCCAGGTTGAGTCACCATCCCCAGAGGAATTTAAAAGTCCTGTGGAAGAGGCACTGAGGGATGTGGTTTAGGGGTGGACTTGGCAGTGTTGGGTTAATGGTTGGACTCAAAGATCTTAGAAGTATTTTTCAACCTAAATTATTCTATTCTATTCTATTCTATTCTATTCTATTCTATTCTATTCTATTCTATTCCATTCCAGTTCAGGATCCTCCAAGTGTGCCCTGATTTTCCTTTGTCCAGGAATGGGAAGTGCTACCAACTATGCAAGGCTCTTAAGGCTCCCAGTCCTTCCTGACAACTTCCATCCTGGTAAATGGGGCATACTGGAAAACTGGACAGCTCCAGAGCGTAGGTGAGGAAACCAGGAACTGAGGGGTGTGTCTGGGACCATTGATGTCCTGTCTACATCCCTGCAGAGCATGTCTAACCACATAAGTGCACATTTTCCAAGAACAAGTTGCTCCAAGCAGTCCTGGTTTCAGACTGGGCACCAGAGAGGCCCTTGGCAGGGAGCTGGGAGCTACAGGAATGAGCAGCACAGCAGGGGAGGGGGCACAGCATCCCTGGTGGTGTGGGGTCCCGTGGCAGCTCCCAGCTGCTCCTGAGAGCAGCTGTAAGCTCTAAAGGCATGAAAAAGAGACAGGTTTAACAGGTACATGGACTTCTTGTCAGATCTGAACAGAAACCTCTCCTCTGGCCTGAGCAAGGCTTTGTGTGTCCCAATATATCTGTTTTCTCAGGCTGTTATCAGCTGGTCTGATAAAAGGTGTTACTCCTCCCTGCATCTCTCACTTTGCTTTTACAGTAGCCCAGGAAGGACACCTGGGCCTCTCTATATTGCACCATTGTAAATGCACCATAAAAACAAACACTTGCATTTTTTAAATGCAGTTTTCCTTTTATATTTCAGCTTTCCATTTCTGGTCTGTTTGGTATCTCCTGGTCTGTCCACACATGGGCACTCTCATTTGTGCATGCACAAATCAATTAGCATGCACCTTTTTCTGTGTACAGAAGCTTGTTCCTTGGGCAGTTGTACATCACAGACTGGTGACACCTTCTAATCTTATTTTAGGAGCTGGTAGTAGGTTTTTTACACATTGACCTCAAACCTGCACACACAAAAAAATATCTGCTCTTAAACTTTCAAGCCTTGTTTTTCACACTTCTCAGCAAGGGAGAAAGATAAAGAACACTCAGACCTAAGAATGTATTTTATGATCATTGAGAAAGCAATAAAATCTTCTGCTTCGAAGCTGAGATACATAATCCATGTGTATCTGCCTGAGGCTGGTCCGAGCAGAGCTCCCACAAGGCTGAGATGTGATGGACACGAGGTGATGGATGCAGTGTCACAGGCTGTTTGGAGGTGGCAGCATTCATATCCTGGCTATTGGTAAGGGCTTGGAAGTTATTACATCCCCTGCTCAGTGGGGGAGAGAGATAAGGAGCACTTTCAGCAAGGTCTAAATACATGGGGTGGTGATAAATGCAAATCCCTCAAGCTCTGCACAACGGGGCTAATGGGTCTTCAGCTTCGGCAGAAAGAGAGTCACAGCCTGGCTGACCTTGCCTAGGAGCACAAAAGACAAAAAGATGAGAAACTGTAGGAAGCAGCAGCTGTGACTGAAAGAGGGAGAGGCGTTTGGGTTCCAGAATCTCAGAGACATGGCCACAGTGTCCATGGGGGGGACAGGCCTGATGGCAATTTGGCCAAAAGCATGCAGGTGGCGGGGTGCACATTTGTCTTGGTGGAAATCAAGGTTTTTGAGGGGTTTGTTGAAGCCAACCAACCACCAGCGCTCACTCTGCTTTGTGATTCTCCAGGACTGAAGTCAGCCCTGGATGTGCATCGTGGCAGCCCTGGGGTGTTTACCTGCCCCTGCACTGGGGCTGCCTCTCCCTGGGGCTGTGATTGCTCAGGCCACTGCCAGCAAACCTGCCGAGGTCACTGGGACCAGGGAGAAAGGCTCTTGGGACACAGAGGGACACTGAGAGTGCAGGAACTGACAGCCCTGGGTTCAGCCCTGTTGGGACCCCTCTTCACTGAGGTCTGAATGCCTGCAAGTGTGCTGGTTAAAGAAACACACCTTTCCCTTGCCATTCTTCAGCCTTGAGTGATGCACAATCAAAAATATTTGCTGAAGCTGCTTGTTAATGATGTTTACTGGAAGGCATTTCCCACCGTGTCTTCCCAAAAATGTGATGCTGTCCCACAGGACACAGCACTGCTCTAAACTGCCAGGAAGTTAAGGCAAAAATATCACCTTTCCCAAGGTGCTAAATGACTGGCATGGACTTGCATACCTATTGCATTCTGCTCCCCTCTCTGCCACAATCAATACCAGTCTGATTTCTTTATCATGGCTGATGGGGGGATGGAGATGAGCGATCCTGCTCATACCTCAGCTTTGGCATTTTGATTCCCAAACAGCCCATTTGCTAGTAGCATAAAAATAATGTAAAAACAAATAGATCAAATAAATGTAGCTTGAAGACATCTCTATTACAGCCCTGCTCTGTATTCTATAAGCAAAATATGTACTGTGCATACAAGCACCGGGGGAATGAAGGGATGCAGGTATTAACGCTGACACATCAAGTGGTTCCTTCATGAGACCATATTATCTATACAAACACCTACAAGTATTTACATTTCATGAACGAGGTTTTCCAAACATCACCCCCAGCTGCACCGCCTCGTGCTGCTCTTGGACGAAGTTCAGGCAAAGAATGAGGCCAAACCAATGCCTTCAGAGGGTGTTTTTACAAAAGACCTGGCTGCAGGGGGGAGAGGAGGGTGCTGGTGACCTTGAGTTGGGGTGGCTGTGGCAGAGCTGGAGGTAAACATCATGTTTGTGGAAGACATTGTTCAATAGCCAAGACAGGAAGGTCCACTGGAAGAAGAATGGTGGGAAAATCTCTGGTTGGGTTCAGCCTTGATCTTGGCTACAAGGTCGAGTGTGGTTTTTTCTCGTATTTAGGCACTGGTCCTTATGCCAGTTTAGCATAGGCAGGCCTTGCAAACTGCTTCCTAGGACTCCTCAGAGGGGCAGTTGTGGAGAATTTGCCCTTCACGGGGTGTAGTTGGTGACTGAACTCACCTGGAATTTTCACAGCCTTTGCCGGATGAAAAACGTGTTCACGAGGAAGGTTTATAAAACCCACCCATTCTGCAAACAGCCTCTCTGCAGACAGACTGAGTGAACACATCACAGCTGGCCGTCCAGAAAGTTTGAAAAACTCCATAATCAATGAATGGATTTTTTTCAATATCGACCCCTCCTAAATCCTGACTGCTAGTTCAGACAGGGCACTTTATGACACTAATAAAGCAAATTGTGCTGTTAAATGTCCCACTTCAGTTCAGCAGCTTGCCTGCAAGCACCAGACTGACCTCAGGCCTACATCATGTCCTGACTCCAGCACAAGTTATCCATTTTATTTACTTAAATTCCCCTTGCAGGTCCAATGAGACACGTGCTTCCACTCTGCTGCTTCTCCTAAGCCACTGTGATTACATTTGCTGTTACAAAGTGCCTGTTTGATTGAGTGTAATTTACAGGGTAAACAAAATCCACACACACCTTTTTAAAAAGTGAAGCATTTTGGAACAAAAAGTCTTAGTACTGTAAGAATTACTAAACCATGCCCCTCCTGCTCAAAGCAGGAATCCACATTTTGTGCAAGGACAGCTTATAGGACTGTGTGAAAATGTAACCTGTATTTCTAATAAACTTTTGTGGGTTTTGATTACATGTCAACAAGCAAAGCAGGAGGTGGCTGGGACATCCACACAGGATGTGGGAGATTAGGGTTAAAGTTCCACTCAGCCCAAGGGGAATATGAGTAAAAGGCTCTTGCCTTTTACTAGGAGAGTCTCTATATCCTCTGTCTTCCAGCTGCCCTGGGATGTGGGTGCTCCCAGCCAGCTGTTGCAAAACATTTTACTATTTCTTGGCAATGGGAAAAGAAAACAAGGGAGTACCCATGTGAGGCTGGAGAGGCACACAGTTATGCTTGGTAAATAGATATGCAGAGTCCAATCTGAGAAATAGATGAATTTAGCATTCAGCTGTAGGTCCCTCCAAGCACACACCAACTGCTGCAGTAATTGTGCTGCAGCCAAGGGAGCAGGACTGTGGAGAAGGATTTTCTCTCCAACTGAAAAACCTCCTGTGGCATCTCTGAAGGTCACTTTTCCAATGCTTCATCTCCACTGGTGGGTATGAGCACTGGTCAGGGGGATATAGCTGCTGCCTGAGGGTAGTAGGAGGGTTCAGGAGAAGGAGAGACCTAAGTCCATCACACTTAGGACACACACTTAAGATTAACTCTACTGATACAATTCTTTCTGTGTAAGTAAAGGATCCATAGATAAACTCCAGTCTATTATAGGAAATGTTCCTGCTGGCATCAGTTGTTTGTACTTCCATGATAGGTGCCACAAAGTATTTCTCAGTTATTAACAAACCTGAAGCCAAGGTGAATGGGCCAAGTTATATCACAAGGGGCACTTCTATTTTAAAAACTCTGGGTTAAACAAGATTACCTTGTACTAAGTTAGAAATGCTTCCCATCTGCAGGGTGAGAGTTTGCACCAGCTCAGGCGAAGAGCTGAGCTGTGGCAGAGTTTATTGGCTGGCACTGCGGGGTCTGATCCAAACCCCATTCATGCATTTGCAAATTCTTCCTTGCCTTCCACAGGCACAGAAGGAACCAAGAGGATGGGAATTAGCCTTGTGTCAGTTGGTGCCAATATCTCTCTTGAAAATCTCCAAAAATAATCTTGTCCAAAAGCTCTGCTACCAAGACAGATAATAAAGAGGACGAAAACTCACTAATTTAACATTCCTACGGGTTCTTTACTCACCTCAGACCTGTGTGCCCTCCTGATCTGTCTCCTGGAGCATTGTTTTCTATTTTGACTCTCAGGCTAGCATGGAAAGTCTTCTCATGGCACAGTAAGAAGAACCTCCCTATAGATGTGCTGCTCCCACCATCCTCCTGTCTAAACTGGGCCACAACTTCTGGAGCCTGGCAGGGTGAATTTTACCCATGGTTCAGGGAGAATCACTACATTTAATCTGCAATTCATGTCTCCTTCACAGAGCCAGAGTGCAGGAAGGGGTCTGAGCAGAAATTGAAATCAGCCTCCTGGGTGCAAACAGGAAAAGTCAGCACATTGCCACTGACACCTTTGGGGTGTAGGCACCTAGACAGAAAATGGATGTCTTAATCACTTAGCAGAGTCTGTCCACAGTGTTCATGGAAAACTGGTACCTATGAGCATTTATGGAATTGCATGAATGGGGAAAATGTTTGATCCATGGCTGTGCAGGCAGCCACTGTGTGGGACCCAGGCAGTCAGTCTCCTGTGTCACAATAACAGTATTTTGTAGTAGTTTTGTCATCTCCACCCCTGCAAGTGCTCATCTATGGCTTGGCCTTGGTGAGCCACAGGAACATATTGAGTCCTTGGCTCAATGTTGTAAAGGGAATGACTGCATGTGGGGAAATAGTCTCCTGAAAGGAGGAATTGGGGGAATCCCACACCCTTGGCTTTCTCTGGAAGAGCTGGAAAATAGTTCTTTCCTTAGCCTTGGGGTAGGTGGATTAGGGAAAAAAGAGATCTGAGAGCACTGACTGTGCTGGGCCCACTGAAGATGGAGGGCTGAACTCTGACCTGGCATCTCTGGTAGTGATGCTAATGAAAACGTTATGGGCTGTGAAGCCAGACCTTGGCAATCTCTTTACATTTACCTGTTATATGTGAGCCAAAAAACCCTCACAATTGCTTCTTTAAACAAAGATTTGCAGTCAGACTGCATGGAGGTCAGTTGAAGGCAGATGGAGGCCTCCCAAAAGACTTCAAAGATAAGATAACAAGCACACACACAAAAAAATGCAGTCTGCCTTGAATTCCTCTGGAGGGTCACTAAGGCACTGCAAAGCCAGCTCAGCGTTGAATGCTCTGGTTTGCTTGCGGACCTTCCAGTAAAATATGGTCTTTGCAAACCTCAGTACTTAGAAAAGGAGAGCTATGTGGAACAATCTTGTCTCTGGAGCAGGGGTGCAGCCAGGCTCTCTGTGTTTTGGCTGTGATCAGCTGTGCCTGGGGACCACAGGGCTTGACCTGCCCCGTACTGCAACACAAAACCGAGAGCAGCGACAGGGCTGGACCAAAGCTCCTGGATCAGCCTGACCGCTCATTCCTGAGAGCAGCCAGTGGTGATGGGGAGGGAAGGAGTGAGAGGAACATGGTGAGGAGATGATCCATCCCACCGCCACCTTCTCAGCAGTGGGAGACCTGAGGGATTCTGAGCTGGAGCTTGCAGCCAAACCTCTGGGGACTGCAGCAGTGGTTAGTCCAGCTTCCCAGCTCTGCTTAAACCCTGTTGGAACCTGCTTATGCTGGGGGCCTCCACATCAGCTGGTGGCAGTGAGTTCCCCCGTTCAATTATGTATGTTATGGGAAGGCATTCCTTTGTGTTTATTTTGAACTGGCTGCCTGGTAGTTTCAAAGGAGTTCCCATTCTGTCCAATCTAATTTAGAGGACGAGTGCCCAGTGGCTAGACCACAGGAATGGGTCTCTGAATTAATTATATTTTCATCTCTGTCATTCTTCTAGAAGAGCAGGTATTATTATTCATTGGGGTGAGTTTCACCTTCAGCCAGCTCAATTAAAATTACCCCAAGCAAATAGTGATCTGGAATTTGGATGAGACTAATGTTCCCTGTACACCTGCAGAGAGCAGGTAGAAATTAAACTAGGCAATAAAGGTAAAAATTATCTTTTAAATTTCCAATGCCTGGATCGATTTGTGCAATTGAAACTGCTGCCAATGTGTTACAAAATAACTTGTCACACAGAAGTAGACTCTATTATATAGCAGAATGCCTGTAATTACAGAAAGATGAGAGCCCACATGCAGGGCAAAAATGTGTAATTTCTAAAAATAGCAATTTGCATACTGACCTAAGGACTGACTGACTAGCTATCTATCTATTGTAATTGTCCTATTTCTATTGATGCGTGTTCATGTCACTTGTAGCTTGCCAGTGAAACGGCACCAAAATCTTGAAAAAATCAGCTAGACAAAAGAGTATTTAACAACCTGTGTTAGCAGCTGAGAAGGGTTCACAGATATAGAGTTATATCTCAAACTGAGAAGTGGTAAGTGTCTGCATTAATTATAGTTTTGGGCACATGCTAGTACCACACTCAAAACCCAGCCTTAATGGGATTTTCTTCCTTCTTTCAGAGGCAAAAATCCAAAAGGAAAGTCAGGCAGCCTTTCTGCAAGAGGTCGTTTGCATCCAGGACTTGTACAAATCTCTTTACATTTATTTAGAAACTAAGGCAATTAAAACACCCCAGGCCCCTCCTGTTAACTCAGAAACATCATTATGAAGATGCTTATGCTGCAGTGGCTTACTATGCTCGGTTTAGTGGAAAACTGGAAAGCTGCATTTCCAGCCATTTGATCAACATTTTCCCGAGGTTGCTAATGACTTGCAAAAATCTGCCCGACAGTAACAACCTCAGGGAGACTGCGTTGTCTCCTCTGAGAACCCCTATTTGTTTTCAGAATGAGAAGTTTA